CGGACTGCGGGCGAGAGTATCAGGAATAACCCCAAGCTCTGTCTGGAAGCCCGAAGGGTCCATAAGTCGCCTGGGGTGGAACCACCTAATCGGTTCCTCCTCCCTACAGAGGGGGGTTTGTCTCCAAAAAAAAAGAGGGGGGGGAGAGAAGGGCCAATAGAAACACCCCGTTTTCCTTCTCCATTGGGCTGTCTGCACCATGCTGGTTCGGGATGGGGAGGTGGGGGACGAAAAGCAAAAAGCCTACTCAGTCCATACTCATCAACATGACTGTGAATCACTCTTCCAACTCACTGGTTCAGGCATTGGAGCTTGAGCAGTAGATTGTTTGCTCTGAAGTCCATCTGCTTCTTTTCCAAGCCCGGCTCTGGCTGCATCAGCCAAGTTTCTTCCAGTGCTTGTTCAGGGAATCCTGGGAGCGGCAGCATATTGCATGCTTTTTACTCCAAGCACTCCGGACTGGAAAACGCATGGCTGGAGTGGAGGAGCAGTCTCCTTAACAAGCTCCAAACTGTTGCTGCTACTGCAAGCCTGGATTCCCCGCACGAACGCTGGAAGTCTAGGACTCCAGTGCAGTCAGTTCTGTTTCTCCTCTATGACCAGCCTTGGAAAAGCCTGCCCTCACAATCGCATGCCTGCAGCCAGAGCTGGGCTAGAATGGTATGTAGGAAATCTGTCTCTGCAGCATCCATTGATTTACGGAGGGCAGGCAATGAAGCAGTGGCAGCAGGCAAGCATGCTGAGCCTCAGGGGAGCCACAGGGAAAGCTGACTGGGAAACATGGGTGGCAGTTAGACCAGGATTCAGGTTCACCCAGGCTAATATGGCTGCCCAGCTGGGTTGCGTGGAGAGTGCTGTGTGGGATTCAGCCATGCAGAAGGCAGGCAAGCTGGCTGACCCTCAGAGACCGTGTGCCCGAGGCAAGTGAGAGTAGCAGCAGCTATGCCAGGCAAGCAGACAAGATGAGGAGCGACTGAACAGAGCGGGGTGGGGTGGGGTGTGGCAGCACAGAATTTTAACAGCTGGTTTGCCCAAACTGGCCTGAACCGGCTGAATTCCACCACTATCTCTTACCCTTGTTTCCCAAGATCATTCTCATGAACCATTACAGCAGGGGATAGGCACGTAAAACTCCAAGACTAATACAAAGTGATCCGTCTAAGATAAGAGAAAATATTCATATCCACCAATTCCAAATCTAGTTTGTGACTCCTCCTCTTTCCATGTATACCAAGATCTCAGTGACCTTGATCAGGGCTATGGCTGCCATGAACTCCTGAGCCACTTTTGTTTCTGTGCCCAAATAAGACAGATTAAAGTGTCCCAAGTTTGTACACCTGGGGAACTCCACCAACAACCTAACTAAGTCATTCAGCTTACACTGCAATGAGGTCGACATAGTTACAACAATCCCATCTCATCCTTAGAATCCAACTTCAGAATGTAGGGACTTGCATCTGGTTATCTGCAGAGAGTCTCTTGGAAAACCAAAGCTACCCCGTCACCCCTGTCCTTAGATTGTGGCACACTTTATACCCAAAACCTAAATAGCCCCTTTTCCTAGAGAGGCATTTTGCCTTTGTCCACCAGGTCTCAGCAATACCTACTATGGTCTCTCATTCACAAATGAGGCAGTTAGGCAACCAGGAATTAAGTAGCAGTAGCTGCAGACCTAAGGTCCAATGACATGGCAAATTGTCCAGGCAGGTGAAGGACCAAATCGGTACTAAAATTAAACATTTATAACCTAACCACTTTGAACCCTGGCATGAATTGGTTTCCTTAAAATACTGTACATCTGTTTTTGTCTGAGCATTGGAGAAAGTTGTACACCAGTGTTTCTCAAACTTGGCAACTTTAAGATAGAGTTGTGTTCTAAACATAGCAGGAAAAAACTGAGAAAATAGTGCTGCATGTAGATTAATAAAAATGTAATTAATATAATGAAAGTTCTTACTCCCTCTCAAAGAACTAATAGTCACTGTCAGTCAATTGTGATCAAATTATGATCAAAATAAAGACAAGACAAAATATTTTAATAAGATATCTATGCAATTTGCTATTCATTCTCAAACAATATGAAAATGATCAATAGTAAGGCTGACAAACAAGTAAGCATCATGGAGGATACAGGTGTACCAATTGTTTTAGGCATCAAAGATATATATCAGAAATATCGGATTGGTTACTGTTGGAATCAGAGGCACCACCTATTTGTTCCATCTTGCCAATTGTTAGATTATTGTGGTATTAGGGGTCATTTCTTTCTTGCAAGCACCTCAGAGATATCACACTATCAAATTAAAGTATGAAGAGCAGTTCTCTTACCAGATTGCCCACATTCAATACATTGTTGAACTCTTCAGTCATTGGGTAGTGTTCCATGGCCATGAAGACAGTATTAAGGACAATGCAGATGGTGATCCCCAAATCAACAAAAGGGTCCAGGACAATGAGCTTAATAATGTGCTTTAGCTTCACCCAAACTGGACAACAGTTCCATATTAATACCGCGTGGGCAAACTTATACCACCATGGTGGGCACTTCTGGTGGGCCTCTTCCAGTTCTAAAAACAAAAATCAAAAAAGATATCTATAACAAAATCAATTCCACTAGAAGTATATCATGAATTACTAAGAGTGCTAACTTTAGCCAACTAATCAATGAGATTGATTGATGATGCATTGTTCCTTAAACTGGCACTTAAAACAGTATAGGATTACAATTTCTGTACTGTGGAAATTATTGGAATTTTCTTATCGAGTCTGCCTAAAAGGAATTTCTTAATCTCCTCATTATGCTGGACTGAGGTGGTTGAATTGTTGCACAAAAGAGCTAATAGAACTACAACCATTTTATATTTTAATACTGAATTATCATGTGTGGATAGTGTATAATATATAAGAGGGACACATTTTTCTATTATAGAAGGCTGTTGTAAAAGGCATAAGACTTATGGCAGAGAGCTATTCTTTTTCAAAACTCTTTCATCAGCATGTCAAATATTTCTGAAGCTACTTTTTCATTGGTTACTGGAAAAATCTAGCAGGTTGTCCATTTGTAAAATTTCTGGCTAAATATTATAGCCTTTATCAAATAATCTGGTTAATTTATCTTCAATTCTTATACTATATTTCAGAGCAATCTACAATACACTAAACATGAAAATGTTATTAAAATATCTGTCTTTAATTCAGAAGTAATCTAGTTTCTACCTAGTCATTTACCTTCAAGAGTACTGGAGACCACACTGACTGCACTCCCTACTCGCTTCTCCAAACCCTTCCCCTCAACACCATCCACATACAAATGGTTTTGATGAGATTTCTCATGTTCTTCCCTTGGATTTGACTGTAATAAAAAAATGAGATCCAAGATTAAAAAAAACAGTGACAAAAATGTAAGTTTTTGAATAAAAAAGCCTCTATGGCCATTAGCATTAGAATCTGAAATAGTACTTGAATTAGAGATGTAATGAGGAAGTAATTCAAGATGTTTGCTATGATATGACACTATTTAAAGGAAAGGTTAGAGCTAGGGCTAGGGTTAGAGTTAGGCTAGAGTTCAAAAGTAAGTATAACCAAGGAAGTCACTTTGTACCAGCAAAAAAAGTAATGTTGATACTCCTTGAATTCTTTAAGAATTTCACTATCAGGATTTGCCAGGACTAAACCATATCAAGTAACTACATATTTAGTTAATTCATTGTCAATTATTACATTTATTATTGCTATATTTTCAGTGCCAGATGCCTCAAGCACCAAAACAATTCAGCTGATGTTTGAAAATATGAAACCAGACTTGGATGCGGTAACATTTACTGCTCTGTCACAGACTCAGCAGAAAAGCTATCTTTACTACAAACTTTACTCCCCTACAACATCCTTCTGTTTTCCCAACTATGTTTGTTAATCAGTGTTTCTTGCCGATTTCCAGTTACACTGGGATAGAAGTCCAGAAAATGAAAAAAAAATATTGTTTGATGGACTCCTCATACCTCTGGACAATTAGCTAACCCTCCTCATATGTTGGATTAATCTGTGCATATAATTTTCTCCAGCATCAGGGTACAGATGACCGGAAGACAGCCTATGCAGAAATATGAAGAGAGGAGAGGGGGCAAGTCCAATGGTCCAAGATTTTAGTCCTTTCAAACACATGTGAAAGTCTGTAACTTTGAGAGACTGTCTACCTTTTGAGTTCAGCAATTCAGATCAGTCTTCATTTTTAGTCCAGCAGTGTCATAAATATTTGTTGCCTGAGCCTGTTGTAAAAGCCATGAAATGGGCCATTTACAGTCCATGGCTAATCTTTTCTAGAAGCATCCACACATTAGCTTGTATCAACACAATTCTAATGAGCATTTCTATAACTATTGAATGGGCAGCAAGCAGTATGGATTATGTTTTTATCTTTGGTTCCTGGTGCATGGAGAACATACCTCACGTACTGTAGCTGATCTCTCCAACACCAAACGTGGGATGGCACGACCATTGCAATCTTTTGGTCCCTCTTGATCACTCTGAGCCTTTTCGTCTAATTCTCCTTTTTGCTTTTTTTCCACTATAATGCTTTCTGCAGAACTGTTAGTTGCTGTCTGTGCTTGAAGCTACAAAAAATATAGCAGATTTAGCACAAGAAAATCAGGAAAAGGCTGTTGACATTACTGAAATTGTGATTTGCTCATTTTTCCCTTGAATTTTGAAATCATATGGTATGTATTTATGTTACTTATGATACGTTTTTCAAGTCTTCTACCATGTTTCCCAAAAAATAAGATTTATTTTATTTGGGGTTTGAAAATAAGGACTCAGGCTTATTTTCAGGGAGGTCCTGTTTTTTTAAATGCAGGAGGCAACGAGCGCTGGGGTCAATGGTAGTGGGAGTGTAGCTACCATTGGCACCGCCCTCTTGGCTGCAATGGGCCAAGCTCTCAGCATGCCCCTACCTCCACCCACCCTGCCTGCTGGTCCAGCTGCTGCTGGGACACTTCTTGGCCACAGCAGGTGCTGTTCTGGCCACCAAATGACTGCCTATGCTGCTGCTGGCCTCACTGGGGCTCTTTGCCCTCCTGGCAGGGCGAGTGGAGGTTGGGGCATGCAGAGAGCTTGGTCCTGATTGAGGCCATGAGTAAGCAGACTGTGGGGGAAGGCAGGGGCTGGTAGTAGCTACCCAAATACTTATTATCCAGAGGGAGACAAAGCTTATATTAGGCCCACCCAAAAAAATCAGGCTAGAGCTTATTTTTGGGGTGAATCTTATTTTCGGGAAAACATGGCACTATTTGGTCCCTTCAGTTATGCTGATCAGCAATTTCCATTTGTCCCCAGCCAACAGGATAGCCAAGACTGGTGGAAGTAGTGATCCCACAAATCTCAAGGATGCAAGACAGACAAGTAGAAATGTCTCTTTCTATGAAAATTATTTTTGGAGAAGATGAGTTGGAGTAACAAATATGATGCTAGAAATTCATACAGTACAGCATTCTAAAGTATTCAAAGAATTCTGTAATTATCAACTCAATATTTATAAAATATTGTAATATAATTACTATTTTTTTAAAATTATTTGATTTCTGATGATAAACAAGATATTTTTCAACATGTTTTTGTATATTTGCTTATCAATATACTGATTCCAACAAGTCTTGATCATTTGCCATCTAATAGCTATCTTTATATTAATTTCCCACAGGCCAATTTTCCACTGTTGAAGTGCAATCTGTTGGTGCATTAAACAGCATCAAATAATAAATAATAATAATTTATTAAACTTGTAAATTGCCCAAATCTCAATGGTTCACAATAATCAGAGAAATTAAAATAAAATCAATTAAACATAAAAGATAAAATATTGCAATGTCTCATTCTCCCTCACCAAAGCCTGGATGAAGACTCATATCTTTACCAGTCTTCAACAACAGCAGCAAAGTCAGGCGATCCAATCTTGTGGGGGAATCTTGTTCTAGTGACCCAAAGCTACTATAGAGTATGCCCACTTTCAGGGCCCCTATAGATGAAATTGTTCAAAACAACCTGGATATGCCAACCCAGCAGATCAAACCAGACAGGGAGATACTATGGGAAATAATCAGACCTTCAAAGAATGAGATCCTATGCCATGTGGAGCTTTACTGATAACAAAAAGCACCCATTTGCCAAACTGGCAACTAGCTTGTAAAGCAGAAGTGTTACATAGGCATATTCAAAATAGTGACACAAAAGTATATTACATGCATACATGCATGCATGCATGCATGCATGCATGCATACATATGCATACCCATTACTGTTCATGCCACCTCATTTCGACAAGTTGAACTTTCTGAGTGGTCTTCAAGGACAGTGCATGTAGAGTGAGGTGACCACAGCATGCGTGATTGTCTGAAGGACCTTCCGCTTTAGGAAAGGGTACAACTGGCAAACCAAATGGAGTTGTGCAAAGGCCTTCTACACTCTAAAGTAATGATGGTAAACCTATGTCACACATTAGCAAAGCTGATATGCCAGTCTTCATCAACATCCGACAACAACTATTATTGAAAGCATACCTTGTTCTTATGCAAATTTCAGAGACCACACAAGACTGGGGTGTGTTTTTCTGTGTCCTCTGGACCTTCTGGAAATTAATGAGAAAGCTGTGCTATTGCACAGAGTCTCTGAAAATCATGCAAAAATGGGGTGTACTTTCATGAGGTTTTGGAGACTGTAGAAGCTATGGAAGAGCATTTTCCAAAGTTGCTCAAGACCTCGTGCAATATGGAGTTGTCTTGGACAGGCTGCAGGGGCATATGACAGATCCTGGAAATCACACACATGATCAAACTGGTTTTTTTAAAGTAATAAATAGGTAAATAATTATTTCTCTTTTGTTACAGGAAGAGTGACATGCCAGAAATCATTCAATGTCTCATGTTGTTGATAATTTGCCATGAGTTATATTGATCATTTGGGTTAAGATTGCAGTGCTTTGTTATCATGGATATCAGAGAATGGCTGGTAGTCCATGATTATTGGTACCAGCAACTTGGTTGTTAATCAAAGCAGTTACAAATAAAATCATGACTCAGCTTTCCTTTGCTTTATGATTTTTGTGAAGATTGTAAATGACCGGTCATGATTGTTGTAATTGTGAACAGTTGGTGTGCAAGGCAGTTGCTAAATGGGGAATACCAGCACTCCATTTTGTGTTCTTTAGAATGTTATATTGAATATTTATGCAGGGAATTTATTGAAGGGATAAAAATGTTACCCATAAGTGTACTATTTAAACAACTCCAGGAAGCCAGTCCTGTTGACAATCCTGTCAGTAAACCTGGCAAGGAGTCTGAGAAGCTATGTCACTGCTCAGGAATGAAATAGCAAGCAAATTGCTGGCTCACAGTTGATGTTTAAAACTCTAAGGCAGCAACAGTGGGAGAAGGGAGTGTGCAATCCTCTGTTTGTGTGTTTGTGTGAGAGAAAGGAGGAGAAATATATCAATTTCTCACAGACTTTGTAATGACAAATGGTGCATTGGAATATCTGCAAGAAATTTGATTTTCTTACAAGCAAGAACTGGTGGGACTACAAAATAGTCAAAGTAACAGAAAGGAAGAAGCTAAAATGCTCTGGGACTTTAAAATTCAGACAAACAAGCACCTACCACCTATAACACCCAAGACTTAACAACTATCAATAAGAAGGACAAAAAAGTCTGAAAATGGACATGACACTACAGCATTTCTATAGTATAGAAAGCATAGAAATAGCATGTATATTTATATACCACTCCATAGTGCTTTCCAGCCCTCTCTGAGGAGTTTATAGAGTCAGCATATTGTCCCCAACAATCTGGGACCTCGTTTTACCAACTTCAGAAGGATGGAAGGCTGAATCAACCTCGAGCCCATCAGGAATTCCAGACTATGGGCAATTAGCCTGCATTCTAATCACTATGCCATCAGGGCTCTTCAAAGAACTGGAAAAAATAACGAAGTACAAAAACTTGCAAATAAAAGTAGAATGACTATGGCAAAAAGGAAAGCAAAGACAGTACCAATAGTGATAGGTACCTTGGGTGTAATCCCAAAACATCTGGAGCAGCCTTTGAACTCCACTGGCATTGACAAAATTACCATCAATCAATTGCTAAAGGCAGCTTTACTTGGAACAGTTACATCCTGTGCAGTGGTGGGTTGCTAACTGGTTTACTACCAGTTCGCTCAGGCTCGCACGTCCAGGTGGGTGGGCGGAACCTCCCACCACCATCACTACCGGTTTAGTTGAACCGGCCTGAACCGGCCTGAACCAGCAGCAACTCTGCAACCGTCAGAGGTGGGTACCTCTGATCCTGTGACAATATCTATAACAACATCAAACAACAACATCTGCCTATTCCAGGACTTGATAGGTGGATAAAAATGCCAGGTCCAGTCTAAATATATGATTGAGTGTGCAACCAACCATAATGACTCAAAATAATCAGCAAGCCAAATAATAACGTAAAAAGATAATTAGGAATTCCAGAAGGACTGACTCTTGTTTCTAAAATTAATCTATCCACATTACACCAAATAATAGTTCAATAAATCTACAGACACACTCACACACAAGAATCTGTTCAAGCCAACAGAAGTGATTAAATCACTTTTAAAAATGGAGTATTCAGCAAATAATTGGTTGGATTAGAATTTGGTTAGAAATACCAGTGAACCCTGTGGAATTCTTGGTACCCTCTAAGCTTGGTTCTTTGCCTGCAGACATTTTATTACCCAAGTAAGCAACATCATCAGCACAAGTGAGTGTGAGATTTGCTGCCTGTTTATATACAGTAGCTTAACCTGCCAGTTTTAGTAGGATGAGCCCTCTCAGCTAAAGAGAAGTTCTTCAAACTCGTCTCTGATAGGATACCGATAGAAATAAATTCCTGAAGTTACTATTTGCAGGGATGGGATTATTTGAAAGTTGAGCTGGGGGTTAAAAGGAGCTCCGATTTGTTGCTGTGGTTTTCCTTAAAAAGTAAATAACCATGTTAGACTTTTGTTGGAAGAAAGCAGACTGAGAAAGTGTTACCTCCACCTGGATCTACTATCTGCATAAGAAGGCATGTTTACTGCATTCCTGCAATTGCCACATCTAAAGTGGCCTGTGTTGAAATAGCTTTTCAAAATAAGGTAGTTGCTGAAAACTGTGGGAAAAAGAAAAGTGTATCACCTCCTCTCCCACTATTAGAGCTGCAGAAGCTCACTGATTCAAAAAGAAAAGGAAAAAAAGCTTTGCTATTGTTTCATAAAAATTGGAACTGCACCTGCACTATTGTCAAGTCTCCAAAATAGGGAATATTGTGAGAGGCCTATGCTGATTTAGAGTTGGTACAAACCTTTTGTCTAGAATGTTCTCTCCCCGACACCCAAAATGAAGTCAAACTATCAAAGTTGCCTTGAATCCCTTGAGGAAGGAAAACTATATATACATGGACCTTCTAGAACTGGATAAATTAAAATAAATAGACATAAAGAAAAAAACCTGACCAGTCTTTGTTGCTCCTCTTGATGCTTTTTCAGCTGTTCTACCATCTGCTGGAACTCTTCTTCTTTTTCTTTTTCTTCCTGTAAGGTGGCATCATTCTGTTCTGCGTAGGCCATTGCCACCACAGCCAGGATTAAATTGATGAGATAGAAAGAGCCCAAGAATATGATCACAACAAAGAAGATCATGTATGTTTTCCCAGCTGCTCGCAAAGTCTAGAGAAAAAGAAGAATTTCACCCTCCTTGGTACCTGGAAATTCAGAATTCCATTCTCATATACACCCTTTCTAAATAGTCATTAGTCTAAGCAATGTATTTTGAAGAAATTCAAAGCCTCCGTGCTATACTTCACAAATTGCTTGACATTTGAAATACAATTCTCAGACTTAGGATCAAACTAAATAAAATAATGGTTGGTGGTCATTATGGAAAAGAAGCAGAGTACAACAGACTTTGAATTCACCCAATTGGATCCTTGCATTCTTATATGTCAGTGGAGCTCCTACCTCTTCATCTTTTTGTAAAACAATCAAAGGAGAGGAATCTGGACTGATACTGGGTTGCTACACCCTGTTTTCCTTACCTGGTTCCCATTATTTCTTCCATTAAGGAAATTAAGAGGGATCTGCATACAAGTCCATATGGGAGAAATTTTAACTGGAAAAATTTCTACCTTTCCATTTGCATGCATCCTATATATATTTAGAAAAGTTTAAAACTCAGAATATCTGGACCAATGTCTTCAGTCTCTTCTCTAGATGAGGTTAGGGTTATGAATCTGATGAAATAAAAGCAATCCCAGCACATGATCAAAAACTTTCATAAACATTGGCAAAAATGCAGGAAAACAAATAAAAGGAGAAAAAATTAAAAGAAGTTCCTGAAACAATATATAACAATATATAAATTTACCAATTGGAAGAGATTCTCCCAATAGTCCTGAGTCATGAGGCGAAAAAGTGAAAGGAAAGCCCAGCTGAAGGTGTCATAGCTTGTATAGCCGTAATTTGGGTTTCGGCCAGCTTTCATGCAGAGAAATCCTTCTGGACACTGTCTACAGTAGATTATACAAAAATTCCAATATAACATCATATTATAAGGGAAGCATTTCCTTCCTAAATCTAAGGCGTAATCTAGATATTTACCATAACCACTCGTTCCAAGTTATAGATTAGGTGCATTATTATATATTTCTGACATCTAATATGACCTGACAATTATCGTATTGTACATAGCTTTTCCTAACAATTAATTCCAAAACCCAATTGTTTGAATTATTTTTACAATATGTTGTTGTGGGCTAGGAGCCATTATCATTAGTACTAGTTTTTTTTCCACCTTTTTATATATAACTCAGAGCAGTGAATATTACTAATGCTCCTGCCTTCTCTTTTTTTCACAGCAACAATCCTATGAGGAAAGTTGGCTGAGAGGGAATGACTGGCTCAAAGTTACTCATCAGGATTTCATGCCTGTGAGTCTTAGAACTCACATTGTCCTGATTTCTAGGCAAGCACCTTTTCACTGAACCAAACTGGATCTCATATTCTTTTCTCAGACATTAAGCCCCCTCCTCACTCCAAAAAAGATTCAACCATTGAGAGAGACCTCACTTACCCAGCATCAGAGCTGTTCCCACAGAGCAAAGCATCAAGTGCACCATCGAGGAAATAGAAATTGTCTTCATGAGCAAACAAAAAAATAAAATAAAATAACATTTAAAAAAATAGGAATGAGAATTGACTTTTACTTTCAACTTCATTTAAAAATGGCCAGAAGAATAGCAAAAAAATTACGAATTAGGAGGAGAGCCAGACTTGTAAGCAGGAAATAAAACAGCTATGCAGATGCTATGTGTTGGAATTAATCAAATTGAACTACAGCCATGACACTGAAAATTGTGAGTATATATTTATTATGGCCTTGAGATTAAACATATACTATAGTATAGTACTATACTATCACAAATAAATCGCCTCCCTATAGCTACTAAAAGAAAAAATAAACTTTCATTCAAAATTCTAACCAAGCATCTCTTCTGTCTCATATAGCTGCATCTACAGTAAGATACTTGATGGGAATTTCTGATATAGTACCTATCATATTTCTTTCCCCCCATAAATCATGAAAGTCACTACTTTGAGTAAATTGTCTTTTCCTCCCCATTTTATCTGTGTCATAGGATTCTTTTAAAATGGAGAATTATTTGATCATAACAATCTAACTGCCTTGGAGAAAGATCAGAAATTGAGTGAAAAAGAATTGAATAAAATCAAAAATGAAAATCTAAAGTAATTTGACTTCTTTCTTCAAAATCAAAGAAAACGTTCATATATTAGAAAATTGGGAATACATATGAGTATTTGTGAGTACATAGAAAAGGAGAAAGAAAAACAACAATTAGTCTTAAGAGAATACTTTCACTTGCTTTTTGTAGATTTAGGGATTGATGAAAAAAATTTCCATGAAAATTCTAGTCCTGCTGTTTCACACAGAGGGCAAAGTTAGATTGCCAATTTAGATGTTAAAACTGAAAAGATGGGGTGGTAGCAATAGTGAAATCTTAAAGAACAGAATGTACATCTGTCCTCCCATTCCAAAACTGGCATTAAAGGCAGAACATATCATTAATAACATAGGGATGTTTTACTGTCTATATTTGCAAAAAATAAATAAATTTATTCCAGGATTTTGTTGTTCATGTTCTTTAGAAAATGAATCTAATTAGAGATTAAATGCATAGAGATAAAATGCATGTTGGAATTTTTTGAGATAACAAAGCTGAACACATTCACAAATCTTTCATCAAGGTCATCAAGAGGGTCATCAAAAAGTGACTTAGAAAAACCCATAAATTGAACTACAGTCCTCTACAATTCCAGATTGCCTCAGAAGGTATTAATTGAAATTGATCATACTATATGATCATCCTAATGGCAATGTCCATATAGTCATTTTGGTCACAAATGTCATATTGAAGAACATCAGAAAGGGTTATGAATAGGCCCACCTATAAAATTTATAAATAAATAAATAACTTTTAACAACAATAACTTATGTTGAAATATTATCCTTGTTTCACAAATATTGTAAATTTGTTCAGCATGGGAAATAACTTAATTTTTGTTGTCAGTTGCCAAATTTGCCCTTGTAAAACCCTGAACTAAATTATATTAATATATTTTTAGCATTAGGTAAATTATAAGCTAATTATTCAGATTTGGTGTTTATTACTTAACTATGTATTTCCTGATTACTTTTCATACCAGTTAAATAAATCTTCTTAAAATCTGTATTTGTGTGTGTGTGTGTTGTGTGTGTGTGTGTGTGTGCATTTCATCTCTCTCTCCCACACATACACTCATTCTCTCTCTCTCTCTCTCACACACACACACACACACACACACACACACACACACACACACACGGTTGCTTTTGTTTTCTCCCCTACCTCTTTTTTCTAACTGATTTGGTTTTTAATTTTTATTTTTGATAATTGAATTTATTTCAGTGTTTTTATTCATTGAAATTGTACAGTTCTTGAATGATAATAGTCTTACCTTCATTGTTAATGTACTCATGCCAGTCAAAGGTCCCAGTGAGAGTAAAATTGTCATTCAGAGTGCTGTTGTCAAGTGGATCCCTCCATAAGACATCCTGCAGGGAGTCACTGGTGAAGGATGGGCCTAATGCATCCTGCAGGGTGTCATTGGAAAAAGGTGGCCATCGAACACACTTTTGTCGCAAGTTCCCCATGAACAGTTGCAGGCCAATGAGGGCAAAGACCGCCAAACAGAACACAGTGAGGATCATCACATCAGCGAGCTTCTTCACAGACTGGATCAAAGCTCCCACAATTGTTTTTAGACCTTTTGGGGGGAGGAGTCAGAGAAGAAAGAGAACAGAAATTTCCATTTGTTTATGCAATAAAATGGATCTTCTTCCAATTTCATTTTAAAAAAAATATTTTATGAATTATATTTGTTAGCTGGAATATTTCAAGACAAAATATTTTGTAAAGAATTGAAAGGCTAGTTACATAAACTATGTCAAGTCATTTTTGCTGTGCTTTAAATTCATTTTATTCTCATAATTCCAGATGATGACTATATAGAATTTGCCTTCAGTACCATAATTATTGTTTTTTTTTAAAAGGCAACCAAAATTCTTCTTTTTACTATAATATTGATTACAGATTTCCTGGTCTAGTAAAGAGGTATGTCTATCTCACCATACTAGCCTTTCTACTAGCCTAGTTGTTTTGTATAAAAAAGCAAAATCCCTAAAACCAGCTTTAGCTTTGTCATCCCCATGATGTACCTGGAATGACAGTGATAGTTTTTAGCGCTCGAAGAACACGGAATGTCCGTAGAGCAGAGACGTTGCCCAAGTCTACGAACTCTGTGACATAACTAGAACAAAAAGAACAGAAAGCTGTTAATATAAAGGTAATTTACAGAAGAAATGTCAGAGTGTATAAAAATTTAAAAAGTCAGGATAATGCTTTTTATTAATCATTTATTTTGAAGAAATCATATAGACCTGTATTAAGTACAAGTACTGCATTCAACAAATGTAAAACAATTCAAGGATTCATTCTTGCTTATTACAATTATAGACTAAGTGTAACTAAACATGTGAATATCTCTTTAAACATTTATTTACTGTTTACTGATACAAGTGCATATTTTGGTAATTTAACATTGTATAATTGTGTTAATTAGGCAAAATCCAACATATCTGGATTTGTATTGCATGAAAGTTTTTGAAATATTTTATATAGTTTTGCAGTTATATATACTGGATTGACATATTTTATTCATATTTAAATCACATTTGAGCTTTATATGTAGGGTGTCCATTTTATAATTGCCTGTGGAAAATGTGGGTTTAATTTTATACATTCTTGGGGCATTTATTTTAGGTTTGGTCACTGGTTGGAATAAAGAATTTCAGAATTAACCTATTCTTTAGATTCAACTTGACAACTACTATTTGTTCAATCTCACACTACTATTTGGCTCTGCTGAAATCCTGTTGGGATCCTGGCCAATACCTGAACATCGGATAACTAGCTACTGTATCTAACAGTTAAGGTTAACATGCCATCTATCCATCCTTGTGTGAGCAGAAAACTATGACATGATGGTCCCATTCACTTAATGCTAGGTAGGTAGATAGGTAGGTATGGAAATATGGAGAGAAAATATCATAAGTTTAAGTTTATGATAATGAAACATATGCAAGAAAACAACTCAGAGAGCCCCAAGGATGCCTCATTTCAACCCTGACAACAAATATTCTTTTTATGATATAAGATTGTATGTATAGTTTTTGCTTTTTATATGTTAAAAAGAAATGATAATTCTTTTTTTAAATAAATAAATTTGTTTTTTACATCAATAGCACCGTCATCTTGACAATCATTGTTAAAGGGAAGCTGAAGAAGTACTGGATGGCATGACAACAGAAAGGAGACAATGCCACCTGCTGCCATCCTCTGTTATATCTATTTAGTTCCCTCCATCCATTCCAAATTAAATAAATAGCTATAAAGCACTTTTATGCATGCTCTGCCAGGCCAATCTGATTTCAGACATCACCTTAAACAGTGGCTATGATTTAAATTATATTAAAATATATCCTGAGCAAATTTAGCTAGAGACCAGCCAGGTCACCCAGGGACCAGCCTTCATCATTATTTATCAAATTGGGTTGCAATGTATAAGTATAATGGGAGAGGTAAACTTAAAAGGTTTTCTTAATTGGTTTTGTTAATTTAGTGTATATTTATTATTCATTGAGTTCTCCTTCAGCTTAATAAGCTCTCAAAAATTTCATTTTTAATTTAAAAACTCTAAGGGAACAAGGAAGTTACAAAGTTACAAAAGCAAAACAATATAAAATCAGGGAGTATTTAAAAAGTGGCATGAGCTAAATAAAGCTATCCTAGCCAGTCATCTAGAGACCAACATCCCTTTAATTCTTCTTGGGCTCAGGAAACATGATATACTTCCTTGAAAAAATACACTTTGGGAATAAGGTTAAAGAGTTGTGGTTGCATCAATTACTATACCCATACAATATCACAGGGAATTGTTTTTTTTTCCATGGTGACCCCCCCATTCAATTTCCCATGGCTGATTTTCATAAAACACTTGCAGAATGCAACATACGCCATGACGATGACACTGAAATCCAGCCAATTCCAAGGATCTCGCAGGAATGTAAAGCTGTCAATACAGAATCCCCGAGCAAGTACCTTGATCATAGCCTCAAAAGTATAAATGCCAGTAAAGGTGTATCTGTGAACAAGCAAGTGTTGGTTTTTTTAAGGTGACATAACAAAACTCCAGCTTTTACAGTCTATTTTAGTAAAAGCAGCAAAAATAAGATAAAATTACAAATAATTTAGAAGAAGAAAATTGGTTAATATTTATTTCCTAGATTTCCACTTCACAATTAAAATTTCACTTTTGAAAGCCTTCTAATTTGCAGCTATTCAACTATCAAGCCTAAAGAATTTTTTATTAAAAATTGACAAAAAGGACTTCATGATTTTCCACTATACCTTTTCTGCAAGCTTTAAAGACAGCTGAAATTGCACAGTGATTTTCTCAAACTTGTTAAAAAAGAAACAATCTGCGAAATAGGCTTTTTTCATACTTTGATTAACAATCCACCCCCAAAAAGGCCTACAAAAGGTCAAAAATGTTTATCCTACCTCCCCTGCTGATGTCATCATATCTTTCCCAAAGTGCATCATACTGAGTAGTTGATGCCATGTGTGTACACTCTCCTTTGCAACACTGGGTAGCTTAATTATATTGATGATATATTTCAAAATATTAATAAGGTGATGAATTAATATAAAAATTAATATAAAAAACTGAACAGTCACTTGAAGCATTGAAAAAGTAGTGGATCCTATGCTGAAATCTGCAATTTGATAGCACACCTGTGTTTCACCAAGAAAGTTTTATCTTTAAAAATGCACTGTGAGCATTTGCAAAAGATTGTATCTGCCTCCTTTCCAAGAAAGTGGTTCCTTTCCAATATTCTGCCCAAATTAATCTTTTATAAAGATACAAAGACATTCTAGGTTTGGGGGGGAAAGTCTGTTTTATCATCTTTTCCCTCATGCAAACTGAGTTCAGATATGGATATCTGAAATGTGGGCAAATGTTGGTAAAAGTCAAAGTGATTAGAATTCAGATCACATGGGTCTCACTTTCCCTTTTGGATTCTTGCTCTTCTGGATTAGTTTTCTTCGTCATCCATTCTAAGCAGTAAGCACCAGGCATAAAATCATTAAAGATGGAGGGGAAAAAAGAGAATACTTACTCCACATCTTTGGCCCATATTGGAGGGTTACTCATAGTCATGAAGACACAGTTGGCTAAGATGGTTATCATGATAAACATACTGAACAATTTGAATATAAAGTCAAGGAAATGCCTCAGACCTCTACTGAAAATACACTTTCCCCACAAAATACTTATTTCTTAAGAACTACATACTTTGTGAACAGTAGTAGCATTTTCAGCCAGAGTCCAAAAAGTCAAAGTTCATTAAATTAAACTAAAGCTATAACCAAAGCTTTGGGCTTGTGCTTGTTTAAAAAAATGTAAAAATGTAAAAAAAAATTCTGATAGCAAAACAAATGTTTAAATTAAAGAAAAGTTCTTTATAAATGTAGTTCAAGGCTATGTTCAATGAAAAAAACATCTTGAACATGCTATTTAAATTCCCCCTCTTGATTTCCCTGGTAGCTGCACATAGCAGAGCCCCATAGGCCTTTGTAATGTAGAGATGATGATGGAGACAGCTGTTAAGTTATTAGTAACCTTAAAACTATAATTATCTTGAAAAATGTGAGCCAACAAGGATGGTGAAAAGGGATGTAGGAAAATGAGATAGAAATGGTGGCAAATTTAAAAAAATAAAATAACCTAACCAATTTATTGTGTTTTAGATATTGGAAATTATGACTATGATACCACTTCTGCACACCATAACTGGTATTCAGTGTTTGATAAGGAAATGATATGATAAAGTTAAAAGAATCCTTGTCATTTGTAGGCATAAAGTGTATTGACAGCCTATATAAAGATAGATGTCAGATGGAGGGTCAGGATGGGAGCTCATATAAATATACACACAGATAGCACTTAAACCAAGGAAAGGGAATTATTACTTGTAGACTTCAACTCACAGAATTCCCGAACCAGACATGGTGGTTGGAGTTGAAGTCCACAAATCATAAAAGTGTGATAGTTCCCCACTTCTGACTTAAACAAATGAGGGAATTTCTTCTAACCACTGATACCTACATAATATAAGCATGAGCTAAATATACAAGTGAAATATATTTATGAAATGTAGTAGGTATATTAGATCTGTGGGAGGAAGTGTGCGTGCATGTACATGTGTGTTCATACTTCTTAATTCTCTTTTTTTTTTCTTACTTTGGCTTGTGCTGTATTTTGGCTTTGCTTTTACTTTTTGGGGTGATATCAATGGCTGATAATAGAATATCTGTGGATTCTCCTGACTACTAAATAAAACCTTTAAGCCTTTAACAGTTTTACTAATATTTAAAACTCCTTAAATAGGACACACTCTGATCTCTTGGTATCTTCACATGTTCAAAAATTGCTCCAATATATTCTCGGTTATCCTTCTTGTCTAGGACTGAATCATTGGGCTTGCAAGCTATACTTCACTTGTTTACTAGGTGATATCTTATTCAACAGCATGTTCTGCAACATCTGCTATAACACACCCATATATACACCCACACACCTTCCTCTGCTTTTCCTTTTTATATACAGGTCATATATATGCCATTGTATGAGTACTTTAAAGCATTTCCCCCCCTTTTTTTTTTCTACTTGTGATCTTCTGTTGAATCATCTGCTTTCCCTAAAAGCCCCTAATCTTGGCAACAGCTTTCCTTCAATTAAGTACTTTAATCTGCCATAGCAGAGAATATATCAAAACTGGGGTTGATGAACTACAACTTCCAACAGGTCTAGCCAGCTTTGTCAGTAGTAAAGGTTGGCCACAGATATCCCATATTTTATTGACCAGAAGCCCCCAAAACCTCCACCCAATGTGGAACCACTCCATATCCAGCTCAAGCATTCTGAGGGATATGAATGTGTAAGCACTTTGATAGCACCATTCCGGATAGGGTTGAATGGATCCAACATGTAGAGAGCCGGAGCGGCAGTGAACCGGAATATGGTATTTCCTTTGTTGAGGATGATGTATGTCTGAAGAAAAAAGAAAGAAAAATATCAATCAAATGACAATGTGACATTATCTCTATATTAAAGCCACTGCAGATAAAAAAATAGTGATTCAACTCAGAAGAAAAATCATAATAAATAATTATTGCTCTTAATTGTCTAATACCAAATCATCTGTAACTGAAAAAAACCAATACATTTGATTTAGAGGGCGAAGATTCTTACTGGTTATGCAGTTGGTCAGCTAATTTTCTTGTAAAATGATGACACAAAATATTGATATTGACTCTAGCACAATATTACTTTCAATCATCTTTTCTACCCAGTCAAATTTTATAAGAGATCATCAAGCATATGACAACACTGGATATTATACATTCAGAAAAATTAAAATTGTGATGATTGTTTTGTGACAAATGTCTTTAATCAGCTGCAGTGAAAATTTCAGAAACTCTATATTACAAATGGAATACTCTCATTATCTATACAAATTTCTTTTATATGCTGATGACATCTCTTATTGATAATTATGTATATTGTATATGAACATCTATTAATAGAGTTCAACGTTTTGGTAATGTCCTGGACTGAGGTTTAAAACTACTAAATGCATTCACTAGATTGTAGTGAATCTACAATATGGTGGAATGTCTAAAAAATAATAGTGAGGTGTGGCATAATTTTATCTAATAAGCAACCATGAATAATTAGCAGTAACATTAGCAGAATATTGGATAGTAAAATACAGAAAAATATTGCTGCTACGATCAAAGTATGCCACCAATAAATCCACAATTTTTAGTAATTGTAAATGGAAGTATGTAATCTGAAACATGTAGTGGCAGTGGCATATTAGAATGGAAAGTAAGAAACATATTCTTTTACTCAAATGAGATAAAAGTAGACTGTTTTGTTTCCAAAATGATTGTCAATGTTGGATAAAAGTATGGTAATGTCAAAGAGGGCAAGAAGCATTGATTAGCATTTTAAAATAGAAACGTTTGAAGTAAAGTGGCATAGAAATATCAGTAAAAAAGAAACTTATTATTGGTGACAATATAAAAAATAGTAGTAACATGGAAAATTATCCGGTTATTTAATTAACTTATAAACTTCCTAAAGGTTCAAATGTGTAATGTTTCTATGGAAATTTGAACTCTTTTAAATATCTGAAAATAATTAATTCAAGGATACTTTTTTCATTTGTAGATATAAACATATCATTTAAAAAAAAATCTCGATAAAAGTAGATATAAATAGCTAAAATCTCATTGAATTTGGTGGAAAATAGAATTGTAGAATATGGAGCTGGAAGGAACCACAAGGAGCATTTTGTCTAGCCTTCTGTCCTCTGGAGGAAAACCAAACTTATTCTTAAGAAGATGTTGTCCTGCTTCTACAGTGAGGAAAAATCTACAAGTATCATAGCTAGACTGTTCCCCTATTTTATCTGCAGTATATTCTTATATTTAAGTGAAATCTAAGTATTTGCAACCTGCACCTGTTATTTCTGGTCCTAGTTATTGTGGCAATAGAAAATTGCTCCTAACTTTTTTCCCTATAGCAATCTTTGAGGTACTTGCCTTCCTTCCTTCCTTTGATATCATGCCTTCCTTCAATTTTCTTTACCTCAAAATAAATATCTTTTATTTCCTTTATATTATCCTCAAGTCCCTATATCTATTACCTATTTCTATTACCCTTCTTTGAACTTAATTAACTATCAATATCCTTCTGGGAATGTGATTCTTAGAATCAAATGAAATGGTCCTACTGTGGTTTCACCAATACATAATACAAGAAATAAGGACTTTTTTCAAATAATATTTTTTCCAATGCAGTCCAGAGTGGTATCAAGTCTATCAGCTGCCCTATGTTTAGCTTTTCCCCAATGTTCACATCCAAGTCCTTATCTAATATGGTGCTTTTCCAATATATATTGTATGTGCCCTGTTTTTTTCTCTTTTCCCCTGTTGAAGGGCATCTTGTTTCTCTCAGTTCAATTTCGAACCTGTTCAGATTAGATTGCAATTTGTTTGTCTCCCTTATTTTAGCCAGACCTCCCAATTTTATTAATCTGAAAATCTCATAAGATCTCATAAGACACATGCGCTGCTCTTGATTGAGTACTGCTCTTTAATGAGAGTGTCATGTAGAGCTGTTAATACTAATTGTTATTATAAAAATATTAAAATAAGTTACTTAAACATCAATACCCTTATCTATAAATATGCTAATATTTTTTATTTTAATCAGATTGAAAAGGTCTTTTAAATAAATTATTTATGAATGCAACTAACCATTTATACATAATTTTCCATAAGAGCTGTTTTTGTACTTCGTTATTGTCTTCAGTTCTCTGATTAAGCACAGTTTTTAGAATGCACGCTAACTCTGCCCACTGCCAGGAGTTCAATCTTGACAGGCCCAAGGTTGACTCAGCCTTTCATCCTTCTGAGATGGGTAAAATGAGGACCAAGATTATTGGGAACAACAATGATGTGCGGTGAGGGCTACCGTTGGTGAGGCAAGAGCGCAGCAGCGGCGAGAAGCAATGTCCCCGCCGCTGTGTCCGACAGGCGTCTTGCGTATATGACAGACATAAACGCAAGATGCCTGTCATACATAGCGGCGGGGGTGTTGCTTCTTGCCGCTGCCATGCCGTGCCGCCTCGCCCCCCCCCCGCCTCCTCTGTCCCTGCTGACATTCCAAAAGGATATTCCAAAAGTGTGCCGTCGAGGAGCAGCATAGCTGGGATCATTGCCGCTCAGGTGGCCCCCACCGCCAGCAGCTTGGGTGTCCCGGCTCCGTCCAAGCTGCTTGCTGTTGCGCTCCACCGCCTTGCCCCCCCCCGCTTCCTCCAACGAACAGTGACGCTTCCTCCGATGAACAGTGACAAAGAGCGGTGAGTCCTTGTGCCGGCCGGTCGGCCAGCCAGGGACTCACTGCTCTCCTCCTCCTCCTCCTCCTCCT